GAGACAAATTCTGAGGGCTGACCGTAGCGCCGATGTGAATACTGACTTTAAATTGCACTTGGAAGCTCCCTGAACTGCAAGCCCTGTGTTGGGGGTCTGTTCTGCTGGCGGGGTCACAAGCTGTGGCGGGGTGACCTACTACAGTTTCTGCTAAAGGAAACCTGAGTGCAGATGGGAGGTGAGGAGGGTTGGCCAGGGCCCCACGGAGGTCACAAGTGACATGAGAGACAGAGCTAATGGCTGAAATAGAGATTTCCCTCATCTCTGTTTTCTGTGCTGAGTTTGTTGGGAAGAAAACAAGCTAACCCTCTTTAAGAAAATTAATCAGCAGAAGTGTTAGCAGAGGAATTGAGAGGATGAGGTCTTGCTGGGGGGGTGGGGCATGTTTGCAATCAAGATTTAAAAGTAATAAACTTCCTAAGGTTAATTTGGGTTTTCTGGCAAGAGCACACAACACTAGGAAAAAGAACTTAGTAGAAGTTTTGCATTGTTGGAGATAACAATAGCAGTGGGAGTTGCACATGTGGAGTGTTGATAGTGCCAGACGGGGTCCTGAGATGTGGCTGTTGGCAACTCATTTAATCGTCACTGCAGTGCAATGAGGGGAGGTGTTATTATCCCCACCAAGAATTTGCATCTTGGAGAAATGAAGCATGTTGGCTAAGGTCTCCCTTTTTAACAAGCGGAGGAGCCAGAGTTTGACCCAAGACCTTGGAACCCTGAACTCCTGCATTGGACCACCAGACCCTATTCCAGCCACCACTTAACAGTCACTGGTCCATGACATGCACTGGTCCATTTAACTGTTGAAATGTTCATTCATACGTCTGTCCCTGCAGTTTGGAAGACAAGGAAGAGAGGAGTAAGATCTGTGGATGTCTGATTAGTGGTGAGGTTGGAGTTAATGAGAAGGGTGGTAGTGATTTAAGTAGGAGTGGGAAGGCATATTGGGTGTGAGAGGCAGAGAAAATTTTAAAAAGTTGTAGACCTAGAAAAATACCCATAGACCTTAACTTACTCATTCATAAAATGAGGCTGATAATTGCACCAGCTTCAAAGGTACTTAGCGCCATGCTTGACACAGAAGTGCTTAAATATTGGGTATTAATATTGCTCGTAGGGGATAATAATTGGGATATTCTGAATACTCAAGAAATGTGAAAGCACAATAATTGTTCACTTCCATTTGGAAAGTTGATTAACCTACATCTTCAAAGAGTAAATAAATCTTTGTAAATATATTCCCAGCACAGGAAAAAAAATTAAGACATAATATCCAACTGTAGGTCCACAGGAAAGGAATGAAAGTCACTGTATCCTGGTGTTAATTGCAAAATAACCTGAGTCTGACCTTTTTTCTCCCACTTTTAGATCTCTTGGGGCTGCCTGGGGGTAGATATGTTCATGGAAGGCAGTGAAAAACACAAGAATGGGGTTGCTGTGCAGAGTTACACTTTCCATCACCCTGAGTGAGGACACATCTCTGTCATCCACACAAGTGTGCAAGATAGGTAAAGAGGAGGGTACGGTGCCCACTGTACAGGTGAACAGTGGCACTTAAAGAGGACAGAGAGCTTTCTTATGATCACAGAATGACCAAGGGGGGTAGAGGCTCAAACCTAAAGTCTTCTACGTTGGCGACTTCACTGGAGTTCCAATGGTTGAGAATCTGCCTTCCAGTACAGGGGGCACCGATTCCATCCCTGGTTGGGGAAGGAAGATCCCGCATGCTGTGGAATAACTAAGCCTGTGTACCACAGCTATTGAGCCCACATGCTATAGAGCCCATGCTTCGCAACTGGAGAAAGCCCCCACGCCCGAGCGAAAATGCAGTGCAGCCAAAATAAAAAATAGAGTCTTCTCACTTTGGATCTCCTGAACTTTTCTCACTCTTCCCAAGAATCCTGGGGGAAGGGAAGTGGGTCCTAACTTGGGAGCTGGACTTCTTGGAGTTGTCATGATTCTATCACCATCCCCATTGTCACCATCACCACGGGACCCGCTGTCAAAACTGACACCATCACCACCATCAGAGGCAAGGCAGTTCTACCAGAGGAGCTCTCCTGTCAGTTGAGAGGTTGTCCATCAGTCCCCTCATCCTCCCCCAGTGAAGAAGGAGAGTCTGTACAAAAAGAAATAGTTACAGCTTCCCCCAAAGTTTCCTAATAGATAATAAATTATGAAGAGAACATTCTTTGCTGTGTAATTAATGGAAATTTACCAGTTTTAAGCCTCCTCTGGGAAATTTTCCATGTCAAATGAATTTGTCGATGGGGCTCGAGAGGGAGGCTATCACAAGAGTTCCGACGTGTACTTCTTCATTAGTCGGCTGCTGGAGGTTAAATTTTTAGTCACGTCTTTGGATGGCTTTGATCTCTCGTGACAGTGTTAACTCTATTTGCTCCTTGGTATCACTCCGGTATTTTAAAATAGTCTTTTGAGATAGTCTTGCGAATTATTTTGCTGGAAGTTTAATTAAATCTTGTCACAGAGGAATATGCTGTCTTGGGGAATGGCTGCTAAACATAAGTCAAATTGCTAAGAAAAAGGCAGGCAGAGAAGATCTATATGCCAACAAAGAGTCATGCAGAAGATAGATTTCAATATGAAAGGACATGTGATTGATCGAAGTTCAAATCCATTTGTTTGAACTATTCCAAGATTCTTTTAATTTTATATTTGGAGCCAGATGTAATCCATCAATTCATGTTTTTATTTAGTTCTACTCTGGGATCATAACAATAAGTAGACAAGATCACCACCTTCCTGGGGTGCATAGTCATGGTAGGGGAGGAATACAGACAGAAGTGTTATGTTTCAAATATAGAAAATCAGATGTACAAGAATATTCATTGGGGTGGTATTGGTAATAGGAAAATTCTGGGGGAAAAAACCTTCTGAAAGAATGAAGTAGGTTCAACGTATTATAAGGAATGTTCTCCAAGATATATTTAAGAAGAAAGAAAAGGAACTGGATAGTATAGAAAAGTGAGTGACAAAGTTTTTCTTAAAAGGTCAGATGATGACTATAATATTTTATGATCTGTTATGGTCTGTGCTTTCCTCATGTGAAAGTATCAATAGACAACATATAAAGGGCTAAGCATGTGTTTCAATAAAACTTTATGCATACTAGAATTTGAATTTCAAAAATTTTTCTTATGTCACAAAATGTTGCTCTTTTTTCTCCCCAGTCATTAAAAATTATAAAAATCATTCTGAGTTTGCTGGCCATACCAAAAACAGGAGGCAGACTGGATTTGACCTGGGAGCCATAGTTTTGCATACCCCTGATGTAGAATGACATTAAAAGATGCTTACTCCTTGGAAAGAAAGTTATGACCAACCTAGACAGCATATGAACAAAGCAGAGACATTACTTTGTCAATAAAGGTCCGTCTAGTCAAGGCTATGGTTTTTCCAGTAGTCATGTATGAATGTGAGAGTTGGACTATAAAGAAAACTGAGTGCCGAAGAATTGATGCCTTTGAACTGTGGTGTTGGAGCAGACTCTTGAGAGTCCCTTGGACTGCAAGGAGATCCAACCAGTTCATCCTAAAGGAGATCAGTCCTGGGTGTTCATTGGAAGGACTGATGTTGAAGCTGAAACTCCAATACTTTGGCCACCTGATGTGAAGAGCTGACTCATTTGAAAAGACCCTGATGCTGGGAAAGATTGAGGGCAGGAGGAGAAGGGGAGGACGGTGGATGAGATGGTTGGATGGCATCACCGACTTGATGGACATGAGTTTGGGTAAACTCTGGGAGTTGGTGATGGACAGGGAGGCCTGGTGTGCTGCAGTTCATGGGGTTGTAAAGAGTTCGACATGACTGAACAACTGAACTGAACTGATGTAGAATATGTTGTCACTTGTGTATAGATGCACTCTCATACACCACACACACTTATACCTATACACACCAAATATGATAGGTGTATTGTGCTTGAAATACCTCTTGAACAAGCCTCAACAAATTTAAGAGGATGGAAATTGACCACATCTGACCACAGTGACATGGAACTAGAAATCAGTCACAGAAAGAGAAATGAGAAAACATGATTACATGGAGATTAAAAGACATGCTACTAAAACCAATGGGTCATTGATGAAATCAAGGATAAAATCTAAAAATACCTTGAGAAAAATGACAATGAAAACACAACCATACAAAATCTAGAGGGTGCAGCAAAAGCAGTTCTTAGAGGGAAGTACACAGTGACACAGATTTTCTTCAAAAAACGAGAAATCTCAAATAAACAACCTGACATACCACCTAAAAGAATTAGAAAAAAAAGAATGAACAAAACCTAAGGTTAGCAGAAGAAAGAAAGTAATAAATATCTGAGAGGAAATAAATAAAACAGAGATCAAAATACCTCTTGGGGATTCATGATTCCCTCAGAAGCCAATTTCTTTCTTCATGGCACCCTTTGGGTTGTGAAGCTAAGCCACAGGGCTTTTGTCCTGGAGGAAGAGAGAGCCACATGGAATGAAACAGAGAGGTTCAGTCTTGAGTCTCAAAGACGACATTTCTTTTCCCCCCAATAAATGGCAAGAAAACAATCTTTGAATCCAAACTTCTTTGAGTTGAAATTTTGTATATTTTTTTGTTTGCCCTTTCTAAACTCCAAAAGCTCTTTACACACCAGGGTGCAAAGCTGGCCAACTGAGAGCATGGAGTTTCATAACCAGTCACTGATGGAGGTGCTAGAGGAAGCCCCTCTGGTCCTGGAAGGAGCAACAGAGATGAAGGGAAGGAGAAAGACCTGTGTGTCTCAAATGCATGCTTCCTGGTAGATACACCAGAAGTAGCATTAGAATCAGGAAGATAAATCTGGGGGATCTTTCAGAGCTTGGTGGGGCACTTTCCTGATTTCCTGCAGTGCAGAGTAAATATTTTCATACCCTTGGCATTTGCCAGAGAAGAGTGTGGGGGAATGGATTCCCTGAAGCCCTGTGACCGGAGGTCCCCACGAGTTCCAGCAGGGGGATGTGAAGATGCTGGGGGAACTTATGGACCAGCTGGGTTCAGAGCCAGAAGGGCTCAGAAGATACGGACTTTGCAACAAGAGGCAAGTGGCCCAAACTACAAGTGGGTCCCAGGATGACAGTCCAAATGTAGAGAGACCTGCCTTCCCATCTAGAGACATCAGAAACAGACCAGTCCCGGCCACACTGCTGCAGGTGCCAGAAAAGTCCGACAGTCCAAATGTAGAGAGACCTGCCTTCCCATCTAGAGACATCAGAAACAGACCAGTCCCGGCCACACTGCTGCAGGTGCCAGAAAAGTCCAGAAGGAAACCCGAGGTTTCCGTCTCCTATTCCTCTGAGGACACGTACACATTCTTCTGCCCCCGGGTGATTTCTTGTGGAAGACAGCAACAGTTTTGGTATGGAATTTGAACCTCAGACTTGGTTGAATACTATTCCTAAAAAGTCTGAACCAACTGTTTTAAACTCCCTGATATGAGGATATAAAAAAAGCTGTCACATTATGTTAATAAGGCCCAGTCCAGTAATGGCGCATTGAGTGGCCCAGCAGTGAAATCTTTTCAGTCCTGGGGATGATCATTCCTAGCAGTGTGAGGCAAAATGGTCATGAAATGTCCTTCATACCGTGGTCAAATTTATGACCCTGAAGGGACCCTGCCAGCTGAAAATTGGCACTTGCCTTCTATCTTTATAAGGATTAAATCATGAGCCACTGCAGCTGCTGACCTTCCACATCCCCTGAAAGGAGTTCAGGGTGGAGATCAGGAATGAGGCACTCCGTGCTCTGGGGAAAACTGGCAGAGCAGGCCTTCAGATAGATGTTTTCAGAAGATTTTATGAGTCCAAATTCTTGCATCTTTTCATATCCAGAAAAGCACTTAAATCACTAGTGTGACATCTGCTTTGGACATTGAGGAGAGAAATGCCTTGGGAGTAAAAATGGAGTAACTGTGACAGTCATCTGTGTCAGACTCAGAAACCACCAGCTATTCTCAAAGCGGTGTCTGCTGGAGTTGTAACCGAGCAGGCCGTTGTGGATAACTCTGTCAAATTTAAGAGTAAACCTCGTTACTGAACCTTTGTTCCTTTTCTTGTTCAAACTTGTTCTCCTCAAGATTGAGAATGTGAAAGAAAAGGGGGAGAATTGTAATCGAGCAGGACCCAGTGGAGCCTTCCCAGGACAAGCCTTGCCCCACACCCTCTACTTCAGCTCCTCTCTGAAGTCCCTAGATAATAGCATTTGATGAACATTTCTCAGCTGTTTTACAGATATGAAAACCCCACCAAATGGAAGATGTTAACTACTTGATGATCAAGAGCATGCAGCCCCCAGAACCGCCAGGCTTCCTGGGGCCTAAGGATTGGTAATGTTAACCCCCATGACAGCACCCTGCTACCTCACCATCAGCTAGTCAGAGATTTGTGCATGAGGTGATCACAGACCTTATGATCTGCCTCTCTCACCTGGCCTTTAAAAACACTTTACCAAAACCCTTCAGGGAGCTCAGGTTTTGAGACCCTGAGCCACCCTGCTCCTTGCATGGTCCTGCAATAAACCCTTCTCTGCTCCATACTCAAAAACAAAACAAACAATCCCCCTACCCCCGCCCAAACCTGGCACATATACTGTTTTTCACATTACTGGTGGAATGGGGCTCTGAGCAAGACCAAGTCTGGGAACATAAAGTTTGCTAATTTTAGAACAGACTTTATTTTATTTTTGAAGATGTTTAGGTTCACAACAAAGTTGAGAGGAAGATACAGAGATTTACTGTACACTTCCTACCCCCCAGCGCACAGCCTCCCTTGTGATCAACACCACTCACCAAAGTACTACCTTTTTTTAAAAAATAAGGTTGAACCTATACAGACATCAAAATCATCCAAAGTTCATAGTTTACCTTAGGGTTCACTCTTGGTGTTGTACATTCTGTGGGTTTTGACAAAGGTATAATGACATGTCCCTGGTGGCTCAGATGGTAAAGAATCTGCCTCATATGTGGGAGACCCAGGTTCAATCCCTGGGTTGGAAAGACCTCCTGCAGAAAGGAATGGCAACCCACTCAGTATTCTTGCCTGGAGAATTCCATGACAGAGGAGCATGGCAAGCTATATATAGTCCATGGGGTTGCAAACAGTCGGACGCGACTGAGCAACTAACACTTTTAACTTTTTTCACTTCATAATGACGTCTATCCACCTTTATAATATACAAAGTATTATCAATGCCCTAAAATCCCCTGTGTTCTGCTGATTCATCTCACCCACCAACTGTACCCCTGGCAATCACAAATCATATTGTCATTTCTGCCTTTTCCAGAATATCATATAGTTGGAAGCTCACAGTATGAATGAAGCCTTTTCAGATGGGCTTCTTTCATTTTGTCATACACATCAAAGATTCCTCTATGTCTTTTCATGGCTTAATAGTGCATTTCTTTTTCATGCTAATAATATTTCATTGTTTGCATGAAATTTAGGTTATTTATTCATTCACCTGGGGCTTCCCAGGTGCCGCTAGTGGTAAAGAACCACCTGCCAATGCAGGAGACATAAGAGACTTTGGTTTGATCCCTAGGTCAGGAAGATATCCTGGAGGAGGGCCTGGCAACCCACTCCAGTGTTCTTGCCTGGAGAATCCCATGGACAGAGGAGCCTGGCAGGCAGGCTACAGTCCTTAGGGCTGCAAAGAGTCGGAGACAACGGAAACAACTTAGCACACACTCATTCATTCCCCTACTGAAAAGTGAGACTGAAAGTGTTACTTGCTCAGTCATTTCCAACTCTTTGTAATCCCATCAGCTGTAGCCTGCCTGGCTCCTCTGTCCATGGAATTCTCCAAGCAAGAATACTGGAAAAGCCCTCAACTACTGAAGGACATCCTATTTGCTTTTAAGTTTTGACAATTATGAATAAAGATGCCGTAAACCTCCACATGCGAGTTTATGTGCAAACAAGTTTTTGACTCCTTTGGGTAAATACCAAGGGGAGTAGGGAAAACCAATAGACCATTCAGGTATGACCTAAATCAAATCCTTTATGATTATATAGTGGAAGTGACCTATAGATTCGAGGGATTAGATCTGATAGAGTGCCTAAAGAACTATGGATGGAGGTTCGTGACATTGTACAGGAGGCAGTGATCAAGATGATCCCCAAGAAAAAGAAATGCAAAAAGGCATTTCTGAGGAGGGCTTACAAATAGCTGAGAAAAGAAGAGAAACTAAAGGGAAAGGAGAAAAGGAAAGATACACCCATCTGATGCAGAGTTCCAAAGAATAGCAAGGAGAGATAAGAAAGCCATCCTCAGTGATCAATGCAAAGAATTGCTAGCAAAGTAATGCTCAAAAATCTCCAAGCAAGGCTTTAACAGTACATGAACTGAGAACTTCCAGATGTTCAAGCTGGATTTAGAAAAGGCGGAGGAACGAGAGATCAAAATTCCAACATCTGTTGGATCATGTAAAAAGCAAGAGAGTTCCAGAAAAACATCTATGTCTGCTTTATTGACTATGATGAAAGCCTTTGACTGTGCAGATCACAAAAACTGTGGAAAATTCTTCAAGAGATGGGAATACCAGACCACCTGACCTGCCTCCTGAGAAATCTGTATGCAGGTCAAGAAGCAACAGTTAGAACTGGACATGGAACAACGGACTGGTTCCAAATTGGGAAAGGAGTGCATCAAGGCTGTATGTTGTCACCCTGCTTATTTAACTTATATGCAGAGTATATCATGTGAAATCATGAGCTGGATGAAGTGCAAGCTGAAATCAAGATTGCCAGGAGAAATGTCAATAACCTCAGATACACAGATGACACCACCCTTATGGCAGAAAGTGAAGAGGAACTAAAGAGCCTCTTGATGAAAGTGAAAGAGGAGAGTGAAAAAGCTGGTTTAAAACTCAACGTTCAAAAAACAAAGATCATGGCATCTGGTCTCATCACTTCATGGAAATAGATGGGGAAACAATGGAAACAGTGACAGACTTTATTTTGGGGGCACCAAAATCACTGCAGATGGTGACTGCAGCCATGAATTTAAAAGACGCTTGCTCCTTGGAAGAAAAGCTATGACCAACCTAGACAGCATATTAAAAAGCAAAGACATTACTTTGCCCATAAAGTCCATCTAGTCAGAGCTCTAGTTTTATCAGTAGTCATGTATGGATGTGAGAGTTGGACCAAAAAGAAAGCTGAGTGCCAAAGAATTGCTGCTTTTGAACTGTGGTGCTGGAGAAGACTCTTGAAAGTTCCTTGGAATGAAAGGAGATCAAACCAGTCAAACCCTAAAAGAAAGCAGTCCTGCATATTCATTGGAAAGACTGATGCTGAAGCTGAAACTCCAATACTTGGGCCACCTGATGCAAAGAACTGACTCATTGGAAATGTCCCTGATGCTGGGAAAGATTGAAGGCAGGAGGAGAAGGGGACGACAGAGAATGAGATGGTTGTGTGGCATCACCGACTCGATGGACATGAGTTTGAGTAAGCTCCGGGAGTTGGTGATGGACAGGGAAGCCTGGCGTGCTGCAGTCCTTGGGGTCGCAAAGAGTTGGACATGACTGAGGGACTGAACTGAACTGATAAGTTTTGGACTCCTTTGGGTAAATACCAAGAAGTGAGATTGCTGGATCACATGGTAAAATTATGGTTAGCTGCATAAGAAACTGCCAAACTGTCTTCCAAGGAATTTTACCACTTTGCATTCCCACCAGCAGTGAATTAGTGTTCCTATTGCTTCACATCCTTGTCAGTGTTGTAGGTTTTGGTCATTTTAATAGGTATGTAACAGGATCTCACTGTCTCTTTAGTGTATATTTCCCTGAAGACAAATGATGTGGAGCCTCTTTTTATATGCTCATTTGCTACTTGTCTATCTTCTTTGGTGAGGTGTCTTGACCCATTTTTTAATCAAGTTGTTTGCTTTCTTATTGCTGAGTTTTAAGAGTTCCTTGTATGCTTTGCATTATAGTCTTTAATCAAATGTTTCTTATGCAAATATTTTCTCCCAGTCTGTAGCTTGTCTTCTCACAGGATTGAAGTTTTTAATTTGAACAAAGTCCAGCTTATCAGTTATTTCTTTCATGGATTGTGTCTTTGGTGTTGTATCTAAAAAGGCGTCACCAGACCCAAGGTCATCTAGATTTTTGCCTATTATATCTTCTAGGAGTTTTATAGTTTTGTGTTTTCCATTTAGATCTATGATCCATTTTAACTTAATTTTTGTGAAGAGTGTGAAGCCTGTGTCTAGATATATTTTTTTATTTTTTTTGCCTGCCCAGTTTTTCCAGCACCATTTATGATGAAACTGTCTTTTTGCCACTGTTTTTTCCTTTTCTCCTTTGTCTAAGATCCATTGACTATATTTGCTGCCTTTTTTGTACATGTAAGTTGTAGTGGGTGAAGTT